GTAGCGCCCCGCCGCATTGGCGGCGCCGCCGCCCGCTGCGCCGGCCCTGGGCGCGGGGTAGCCGCCGGGCATGGAGGGGGCTTCGCCCGCCTGGAGACGCGGCGTTTGCGATTGGCCGAGGCGCCAGGCCATGGGGGAGGAGCGGGTGGCGAGGGCGGGGAGACTCCGCCCGTTGACTTCTGTGGTCACGGTTGTGTCGAAGGTGGTCTCCAGTGTGCTGCAAAGATGGACGGAAACAGATTCTCACTTACAAAAAAAAACAAAAACCGACAGCGCCTGAAATGGTAAACAAATCAATTTTTAAGGTCACATCAGCCAAACTTCTACCTCACACTGACCGAAATTTCAAGACGATGAAGCCGTGTGATATCAAGCGCACGCCTGTGTGAAGGTGACAACTCCCAGGTGAAAAGATGTCCGCAAGCGTGAGCGCGCCCCTTTTTCGACGGCATGCTGTTTTCGCTTTGACTGCGCCTCGTGTGTGTGCGCTTGCGTGACCTTTCCGAAAGTGCTGCTTCTTCCAGCGTGCTAACTCGAAAAGTGGGAGGATGAGAAAAATGCCAAATCTCCCATGAGACAAATGTCACAGTTGCGGAAATCTCGGCAAAACGCCTCACGATTAGGGAGGGATTCAATTCTTGGCCATACAAAGTGTGTTGTTGGGCAACTCTGATCCTTAAGGTCATATTTTCCTTGCCTAGCATTCGTTCTCTCCGGGTACTCTGGCTTCCTCCCACATTCAAAATAAACTAAAATAGACTAAAATGCCAGTTTAGTTTGAATATTACGGCGCTTGTTGAGATCCGTGATAGGCGCCGGCTCACCCACGAACCCAGAAAACATAAAAGAATGACTTCATAACTGTAAAAATGAGCCTATCCTCCAGTGATAATTACACAAAAGCCGCCATCGTGATTAATCCGCTAATTGTCACAGACTCAATATCGTAATGATCCTCCGTCGTGTTCGCCGGCAGCACAGGAAAAAAAAAAAAAAAAAAAAAAAAAACATGGTTCGAGCTTTGCGAGCAAAATGAAGTCAATGAAATTAGTTGGAGACAGTGACGGTGCGCGTTTATTGCGGCCCTGAACCCCGGGCAAGGATATTAAAGCATGCGGCGGTACCACGCTGGAGCCCTCTGCTGGAAAGAAAGGGCACTGCATTTTCACTCTGATGGGGGGAGCATTGCGAGAGGTTGTCAACCAATGCCAATTTCGACTATCCGACTTGACTTCGGGGTACGTTTACAGCTCTGGACACGTGTCAAGTCGACGGTCATTTTTTACACAACTTGCTCGTGTGAATTTAGCGGTCGAGCGCCACGTTGTTCAAAGCGCGGATTAGAAAATGGATGGATAGTTGCTCTGACATATTGCACTGTTGTGTATACTGTATGAGAATATACAGTACGTAGTCATACTACGTTTGCCTGTACCACGTTTAGCAATACTGTCTGTCATGCCAATAAGAAGTTCGGTGGTGACAGCAAAATATTTGGTGCACCTGACACTCTAAGATTCAACTGAAGACGAATAATTGGCCCGTGCGTGTTTGATGAGTGACAACATGAGAAGGGCGGCGATCCCATCAAATTTCAATCAACGGCTACTGATGTCAACATACACACATGCAATGCTGTGCTACAGTAACCCCCCCCCCCCCTAAAAAAAAATATGTGAAACCGTATCACAATGAAAATGCAATTTGCCACGTTCAGGAATCGAAATCTTTTTTTTTTGAGCAGTTGTGTACGACGCAGCTTGCAAAATCAGCTTATTATAATCTCAAGGCAGCAAAAAGGGAGGGGTGGGGGGGGATAGAAGGCCTGACAAATAGACGGAGACGTTACGCGTGCGGATGCTGAGGATACGGATGGAAAGTAGAGGACAGCTCCTGAGAACGGCTTGGAACATCAACCCTACCGCATGCAAGCTCATTAAAACATAGAATAACAATCGAGTTGAAGACATGGATACTGGATCTTAAATGGAAATCAGCTCTCGGCACCCCTTGGTGCATTTTAATAGCTACTTAAACGACTGCTGCTTCTCAGGTGGGTCTGGTCGATGTATTCCGGATTTCAAAGTCTTGGACTTTCAAGACCGGGTGCTTACTGCAAATGTGAACGAACCTCTAAAAACGGTTCTTAATCTTCTGGCCTATCCGGCCACGTTCGAAAAGGCTTGTCCTCATTAGGGAGTGTGCAAAAATCTAAAACGTACTATTTTTAGCCTCGGCTGATGACCGGTCAAACACAGGGTCAATGAAAAAATATGTCCAACCTGATCCTAGACAAATAACGCACACCCCCCCACCCCTCGCTGCCACCCCTTGCCCTGAATATTTGGCCTTTCATATTCAGTCCTATTTGTCAACTTAAAAGATTGCGTTGGCTTCCGACAACAGTGAATAATTTAGCTGTTCTTGTTATCTGTTGTGCCAAAAACACAAACAAAGCGCCCGCGGAGGGTATCGAGCGTCATCTGATCATCGCGAAATCCCCAGATGTAGAAGAGATACGAATACAAGGGAGAGATGTGCCCTTGAAGATCGTGACATTTCTTCAAACACCGGCGTTCCTTTTGCCTTACGTCAATCAATGCGAGCGCGTCTTTCTCGGGGGGGGGGGGGTTGCGAAAATTAATTGCGTGTTTGGATCGATGGCGAGTGTCTGAGGGGAGAAAAAAAAAACACGTCTGGATGCTGTTGATGTGACTGCGGCCGGTACACAAAATAACCATTTCCATCGAGGTGTATCCGAAAACGCATCGCGAATGGAAATGAAGTGTGGCAAATGCTTGCGTCGCATCATGAATGATGCATCGGGGACGGTGGCCACCTCATTATTGGCGCACAACGTAATGAGCGCAGGAGCAGAAGCGCGGATTTTGTTTTCTTTAAATCTGGAAAAAGCTTTGTTTCTGATTACGTTGGTTTTAAAAATCCATACGAGACGACGCACCCAGCAGGTCCATCAAAAGGCCTTGAGGACATTACAGGTACGGAGGGAGAGTCCCAAAATGGTGACAGAGAGCGATGAGCGGGACTGTCATGTCCGTGCAAGCGTGACATTGATTAATTACTTGGCGGTGATTACAGCCATTGCGTATCCAGGAGGGAGATTAGCTTGCTCTGGGCAGCCTTTTGTCATGGACTCAATTGGCAGGCATTGCCCGAGGCACTTATCACATTCCCACTATTAAAACATGCATTACATTTTTTTTTCCTATTACGCGGGCCTATTTCGTATCATTTTTGAGGCAGCAACAAGGCCCACGGTCAGTATATGGCGGCCCATGTAAATGTAGCTTCTGCACAGGATGTGTGATTTTTTTTTTTTTGCCGACGAGACCACCCAAAACCCGCGTCTGCGGTGAAAACAACGTATTGATCACGGCCGGCTGGGAAGCCTTCAAGGGGGAGAAATCAGAAATCGAAAACAAACACACCCTCATACACACACACGTTCGCAGAAAGCCCATCTGTCACGGCTTGTCGGCCTCATCTTCCTTTGGTAAGTGGGCCGAAAACAGCCAAAATAATAGACTGAGGGAGAAGTGCGGAGACGGTCGCGATCGTCGTGATGTCTGAGCTGCGGCAACAAGTCTGCCGAGACGGTCCGTCGGTGTGGCGCGCGGATGAAGGGATGTTTTGTAGGTGAAGGGTGCCATTAAATGCAGGAAATATGGAGAAGGCGGACGTGGGATCGTAATAAGGGGAGCATCATTACCGTATTTTCCACACTAAAAGGTGCACTGGATTATGAGGCGCGCCTTCAATGAATGGCCAATTTTGTCATTTTTTTCATACATTGGGCGCACCGCATTATAAGACGCAATCTACAACGCTTCCACTAGATGGAGCTACGCTCAAGGAAATACCAACAGAACGATCAGATGTCAGTAAAACATATTTAACTCATTCAACTCATTCACTCCCAAAGACCTTTTGAAACTTCTTTTCAGACTTGGTCCAGAATTGGCTGGTACTGAATGAGTTAATAAAGCAGCAGATTTATTTCTGTACCGGTGCCTGGGTGAGATTTGGTTGCACAGGCCAGGTAGGAGTCCGCAGGCTCGGATGCTTGCAATCTTGGCAAACGCTAATAGTTACGCAGCGTGCCAGAAAAAAAAGGAGAAATAGATCAACAAACAACCTTGGTAGCAGGTGGCTTAAAGAACAGAAAGGCTCCGAGTTGGGCAAACTATTTTGCAAAAACGGGTCTTCTTACATAACCTGTCGTTCGTGACGATGGCTGCTCGGTTGGTGACATGACACCGAATGACACAAATGCAGATCATCATTTCCATCGAGCATCTCTCTCCGCCTACCTGTGGCTGATCTGCGTCCCCCGTAGACTGGACATGGTCTCTTCCAGGTTCTGCCGCAGGTCAGCAATGTTCTTTACCGTCCTCATTCGTCTCGTCTCCGGGTCCTCCCCTGCGGACACATTCGATTTAGTCGACACACATACTCTCTTCCGCCCCGGGAGAAAAGACATTCCGACATACAGTTTTTCATCACTTGTCACAGTGTGTCCCATTTTTGGGCAAAGTGATAAATGGTCATCGGACGTCATAACGGCTGCAGCCTTTTTTTTGGTATGAAGCCTCGACACATTATTTCAGATGACGTGCCTTCTCACCATTCTCTACCATCACCTTTTCGACTCATTGCTACGAAATAATCCCGTTTCAATACTACCCCACCGCCCCATTTCGGACAACAGACTCAACTTGGAGCTTAAAAGCCGCAGGCATGTACGAGTATCTTCTTGTCGGCTCCGATTAATCCTCCCTCATCAAGCGATCTGCACGCCGGGACCGCGGCGACGGTAATAATTAGCACGTGAAATACTTTGTGGGGAAAATAAACGAGCTCCGGATGGGCCGGCTGATGTCAAACGGGGAAGAAGCCGTGTTTTGAGTCTCCGAGCCGACGTCCTGACATCAAAACGAATCCGGAGAGGCAGAGCAAAGAACGGAGATTTAACGTTTCCGCTCGCTTTCCTCGCAAAACTGGCAGCGAGTGCCAGTAAGCGAAGGGAAAACAATTGAGGTGTTTATGTGCCGCGTTGAGAAGAAACACCAGGCTCAGTATAGATTCATCACAAAAAATGCATTCCAGAGTCCACTTTGGGTACTTGGAAAACAATCGCAAAGGCGACTTCTGTGATTGATCACATCCCGAATAGGAATCCACACGTTGCAGGGAGAAAAAAGGCGAATTCTTCTGGTGTTTTTTTTTTTTTCCCCTCAACGTTGCAGAAACGAACGACTCCGACGCGCTAGCCGGTATGAAAGTAATCTCACGCGCTGACAGCAATCTCCCTTGTTTTGGCGAGGGATGCGTGGCGATCGCACGATGTCGGAATCAGTTGACCAGGTATGATGAATGAATGGGCGGCCCCTCGGTGGCACTGGCGCAGCACTTTTGCGGAAAGCCGAACGTTCCGATATCGACGGGGCGCAACGGAATTCGGCGACGAAGGAAATAAGCAAAAAAATTTAACGCAGGGGCATGATGACGAAAGACAAACACGCCCGCACCCAATGATGATCTATATATATGTTGACACCTGCCCTCAATTTTATTGCACCGTCCTTGTCGATGACCTCAGTGGAGCTAAGGGCTAGCCGGGGTATAATTGAGGTCATGTTTTGACCGGCCGGAGCAAACGGACGGCACGTTAAGTGAGGCTGCTGAAAGGACATCAGATGAGAGCCCCTACAATGCACCCTCGTTCGTTTCGAAATATTTGCACCTTGCGTCAAAGAAGATAAACATTGCATACATCCTTACTTCAGCCTATTCTAAATGCAAGACTCACCATTTTTTCCCCCCAGGTGCATCATCTGGATTTATAGATCTGGACATCAAATGCTCAAAAGTGCACCTGGAGTAAAACTCATGCAGAAAGAGCGCAAAGCACCCGCTGAGCGACATCGAGTCCGGTGTTGCCCAACTTTTAAGGAGGACGAGCCATCACCAAACATTCATTCATTCACCCATTTTCCGATCCTCACAAGGGTCGCGGGGGGGTGCTGGAGCCCAACCCAGCCGTCTTCGGGCAGTAGGCGGGGGACACCCTGAACCGGTTGAAAGACAATTGCAGGGCACACACAGACCAACAACCATCCGTGCTCACACTCACACTGAGGGACAATTTGGAGTGTTCAGTCAGGCTGCCATGCATGTTTTTTGGGAATGAGTACCCGGAGAAAACCCACGCAGGCCCGGAGAGAACGTGCAAACTCCACAAAGGGAGGCCGGAGCTGGAATTGAACCCGGAACCTCTGCACTGTGAGGTCGACGCGCTAACCACTGATCCACCATCACCAAACAAACATGACCCAAAAAGTGGTGCATGTACACCCGATGAGAATTTACACACAAATCGATGGCGTGAAATTTGGGCCGGTTGTGTCGAACGCAAAACTATCACGCGGTTTGTACGAGCAGCAACAGGTGGATAATTGCACTTTCCGCCACATAGCAGGAAGGAATCAAGCACGTATTCCGCTAACAGACCATGACGGCGTTGTCATGGTAATTGCGAGTCGCGGTTGAGGAACCCATGCGGCCGCCGTGCCAACTTACGTGGGCGTGGCTGAGTGTGCAGCACCTGCTCCAGGTCGCCAAGCATGGTGAGGATCACGTCCTTATCCAGCTGAGCCGTCCCCTCGCGAGGCCCTCCCCCCGAAACTTCCTCCTCTGCCCAATAGCCGCCCTCGTTCTCCCCGCTTCCTCGCTTCCCGCCGCCCGCGCCTCCCGCCTGGTCCTCTTCCGAACGCCCGCGGCTCCCTTCTTTGGCTGCGTCCGCCTGCTGTTTGGGCTTGCGAGGGGACTCGGCCCGCGGGTGGCCGCCGTAGGAGGCTCGCTGCAGCCTTCCGCCCGCGGCGGTGCGCCGCCAAGGCACGGGAATGAGCGAGTGCTCCGACTGGGAGAGCATCTTGGTGAGGGAGAGAGACAGGGATCGAGCTCGGGGGCCGCAGCTTCTCGTGAGCGCCTCTTTCCTGGGGCTGCCTTGGAGGCTACCCCCTGCCCGCTGCGACGAAGACGACGGGTACACCAACGAGCTCTGACGTTGCGGGAAGCGAGGCGGAGGCTTGTCCGACTCCAGGGCGTAAACCCGCTGCTCGCCGTCGCCGTGCAGCGTCAGGTTGGTGAGCGAGCGCTGCTTGAGCCGCAGGTTGAGGTTGTCCGGAACGGGCTGGGGAGGCCGACGAGCCGGGCTGCCTCCCTGATACACTGAGAACTCGGCCCCTCTCTTCATGTCTTCTCACGGAACCCCCCTCCCTTGATTTGCCAGCTTACCTCTTTGCTTGCTTTGACTCAACGGGTCAAAGTGAGTTCATCCCGGCTTGACTGCATATGGGACTGAATCAAAGGACGGACGAGGTCGAGACATGGGTCCCACGCCTCCCAAACGGTGGTCCTGGTGTGAAAGCGAAAGCCCTCCCCTTCAGGTCGACAGGTAGAATCCAGATCCATCGCGGCGCCAGCCCAGTCGATCCACCAATTACGATTTGAACTACTTCGTTGCTTGCGCTTTGGTCCTCATGCTTCCCCGCCTCCGGTCCTCGACCAGCACAGTCAGGGGTGTGACTGAGCCAGTCGCGACATCTCCCTTCGCCTTTCTCGCATCCTCCTCGAGCTTGCACGCTCTTTATCCTCCTCCCTTATTCAACGACAGACTTTTTTTTTTTTTTCATTCACTCGTATCTCGGCCCCCCTCCTCCTACTCCTCCTCCGCCTCCTCCTCTAATTACCACCTCTTGCCTCTCCTGCCTCCCCGCTCTGACGCCGCGAGGGTCCGTCTCTCCTCGCGATGGAAAGCGAGCGGCTGGCGGAGCCACCGCCAGCAGAGGACTTGCACCGCTCTCTCTCTCTCTCTCTCTCTCTCTCTCTCTCTCTCTCTCTCTCTCTCTCTCTCTCTCTCTCTCTCTGTCTCTCTCGCTCGTTCTCTCGGCTCACTGTTCAGCATCCTCTCATCCTTCCCTGTCGCGTTCGCTCACTTTTCTCCCCGCCAGCCACCCCGTATCTTTCCTCCCTCAAACTACCCTTCCACCAGCGCTGTCCCCTCCATCTCGAGTTGTTTCGATAGCGCACCTGTAAGCTCAGCGCTCCCTTGCTGACTGCCAAACTTAATTAAATGCTATCTGGAGGCGCTTAGCGGCGAGCCCGACGGCTTATCTCTGATCAACAATGAGACCGCAGAACCGACATATTACTCATCAATCAGTGCGAGCTTTATGAACCCCCACCCCCAGCTGCTGTGCACATATTGAACAAGTCAAACTTGGAATAGCTGAAAGGACAGCCGGACCCATAAAATATGTTCAAATCACGATACAGTGTCCCTCAAGTTATTTCACAGGGAGCAATTGTGTTTTTTTAATACACTATGTCCGTGGGCCAACAATGCATAGGTATGCACCTAATGTACATTTTTGTGAGATTCTGTTCCTTTTCCTCAAAAGGCTGGGAAAAACCGCAAACGCAAGCGAGAGTCTGGGAAAACCAAGTCCAGTTTAACTCAGAGCTCGCTTCACACACAGTTCGCGTTTGTTTCAGATTTATACATTGAAACTCATTGAACTGTTGATCTAAAGTTTGAATCTGAAAACACTACAGTGCCGGATTGAAAAATAAAAAAACTCATGGCAGGGATTGAGTCATTTGGCCACGTTTTGATCATCTGTCATGATTTTTTTCAAGTGGAAAATAACACGAGGGCCACTCTTTTCATATTATGAGACCGCAAATGAAGATGTGTTTGCTCTGCATGTGTCATCGGACGACGGCTTTGTGCGACGCCCGCCCGTGGATTGTCCGAAATAACGGCAGCCGCGGGGGTGGGGGGGCATAAACAAAGAGCCACAGATGCTCCCCGTGTCCGACTGTCAGCGCTGACCTTTTCCCTTCGCGACACAACATGCGCGCGGGAGGGAGGACGGACGGAGCTGCCGCCCCCCCCCTCCCCTAAAGAGAAATAAAAAGACACCCGTCACCTCCCAAACACATATTTGATGCAGGAGTCGCATCAGTCTCCCTCCTGCGAGTCCCCGCTAATGTGTCTTAATTTAATGCCGCGACACAGACTTAAATCCCGCCTACTCAAAAGCACAGCTAATCGATTTTGCAATCGAACGGGTTTTATCGAAGCTAAACACACCCAAATAGAAAAATATGGGTGCAACAATTGGTGGTACGGGGGAAACAAATCCAATAGAACAGCATAAGGGCACTCTCGATGATTATAACAGATCATTGAACAGCACAAGTGGAAACGCATGGAGGCCTATTGACCCTGCACACATGGAGATAAGCCCAGCGTGTGTGTGTGTGTGTGTGTGTGTGTGTGTGTGTGTGTGTGTGTGTGTGTGTGTGTGTGTGTGTGTGTGTGTGTGTGTGTGTGTGTGTGTGTGTGTGTGTGACCCATACCTGATATCTCCTCCAGGCACTGTTTGGCTGTCTTGCTGTAGACCAACTCCCCCTTGGTGGGGCTGAGGCAGGGGTCGGCCGGGGCCACCATGGTGCAATCATTCTCTGAGAATGTCCTGCGGGAGCACAAATAAATCATACCAAGCTGTGACAAAAAAAAAAAAAAAAAAAAACTCGAGAGGAGAAGGTCAAAGAATTCAAGAAGTCTCTGAAATTGTTTTGTTTCGCTAGACGTGATCAATTGAGCATTGGATTCGGTTTTCAAAGGACGGGAATTCTTTGAAAAGCATGTTTAAAGATTGGTCTTATAAAAGTCTTGGGTTGACTAAAAAAATGGCGTTAACTTCAGAGGGAATGCCGCCATGCTAAACTATCTGGGATGACATACTAGCTTGATTTAATCAGTGTTAAAGTCCTCACTGATGGCTGCGCGGGCACCCGCAGCGGCTCCTCTCTCTCCTGTGGTTGAGAGGAAAGTCATTTCATCTGTGCTGTATCCACATCGTAGAACGTGGTCGACACATACAGACCGCTGCGTATTAAGGGGTAGACTTATATTTTGTTTGCCAACTTTACTACTTCTTGAAGTCAACTACAGTAGTTGCTAATCATGTGTTTTGGCATGTCGTCATCCAATCGGCTAATTTACACAAAGGCTGTACAGCAAGTCCATCTGCTGCCGTCACTTGAACTTGACTTTAACAAAATGTCCAGCCAACAAAGGGAGAGAGTCTTTATAAAATAAAATAATCTTTTTTTTTTTTTTCATTAAAGCCGGTTGTGGCTAGGAATAGCGGTTAGCTTCATTAGCTTTAGCTATTCAGATCACTGCTAACTCCTAAAATATTCATACAAATGGTACTTTGGTAATGGCGGCGACGGAAGAAGCTTTTTCTGGTCTGGTCTGTCGATGTAAAACAAGTCCGCGGCGCGAAAAATCGTTAGGACCGCTGTTGACATTGATAAATCTGTTTCTGTTCAACATTTAGCGCGTCTGGATTCGCCCAAACCACATTCCTCATGTCGAACAGCAAAAGGCATTTTCATGACTTTTAAGGTTGATGAAAACAATGAGAAGAAGGGCTCCGCAAACTGCATCTTCGTCATGCCGTGTGCCTGTGTTGGCAAACCGATAAAAGAGCGTCTCCGGTCGCAACAGATGGCCACCTCAAAAGGGAAGAAGGGGACATCTCGGATGAAACACTTGGCGGTGTATGTGTGTATGTATGTGTGTGTGTGTGTGTGTGTGTGTGTGTGTGTGTGTGTGTGTGTGTGTGTGTGTGTGTGTGTGTGTGTGTACAATCAAGAGTTCAACGCCAGTAACAAGGATGGCGGTCCGGTGCGCTTGGTGATAACAGCCTCGCACGCAAGCGCAAGCACACAAACAGACGTGACAAAATGGACGCGCGCGAGCACAGAGTGAGGAAAAGTAGCACCTGCGGAGGTGCAGATAAAACCCGTCACCCAAACCGAGCAACGTTTTTCACGTGTGAAATCAGGTTTCGCCTACTTCGGTGCATTTAGAGGTATTAGTTGTCACTGATATGCGCAACCACAATATATATTTTTTTCAATCGTGAAAGGTCAATAACGTTTTACTGAATATTCACTCATTCACTCCCAAAGACATTTTTAAACGTCTTTTTTTCAGACTTGGTCCAGAATTGGCTGATACTGAATGAGTTAAAAGTGATTCCGATTTGAATGACTGAATTAGTCAACGTAGAAATTATGAAATAAAAGGGCCAAAAAAAAAAAAAAAAAAAGGATTTGGTCAATTTCAATGAACCTGCAGATTATTTTATTCGGTGTGGGTGAGAAATGAATCAAACGTACACACGGGCCGGCAACTGCGAAGGATTTCAAAGCAGGAGAGAGAAAAACACAGTAAAAGGGGACCAAATTGCCCAATTTGGACTGAAAATGGAGGTAAATTGCAACACGGCAGGCGGCGTGCGCACTTCATGCCGCAAGTGACCGATCTTGCGCGCGGATGATGGCTGCAAGTGAGGAAGACGGCGAAGAAGTGCGGGGCTGATACGACAACAGTATGAGGTTCACGCAAGTCAGCACAGGTGAGGATTAGTTGAAATGTGCCATCGCTTCATTTCCGCGCCTGAGAAACGATCATCCCTGCACGTTAAATTGTCAGTCAACCATTTTCCTCAGAATTGAACATTCCCGATATTTGGGTCTTTGAAAACCGCAACCTTAGGAAAAAAGAAACATGTGACACACAACAAACATTATTTCCCTCCACGCAGTAAATTTGGACGCTGTCGGTGGTGAAATGATTTTTTCTTCAAAGCCCTTGAATATATTTTTTTTTCCCTGCACAAAGCCCCAACAAGGCTTCAAGGTAGTCGTCCGATAATCTGCAGGAGCGATATTACGCAAGAGTAGAAGTGCACGCTGGAGCGCAAATATCGTTGCACGCAGGCGGAGAACAGGAGGGGGGACTATTTTCAAGGTAATGTTCTCAAAGCTGAAATGTCACGTCACACGGATACCCGGCCACAAGTCCTTCATTGCGTAATCCATTGCATAATTGGATGCCAACTCATTCCTGCCGAAGTGGCCAGAGCGGCCCAAAATTGGAACAGTAATGCGACTTTAGAGTCGGGCTTCAGGGTCAAAAGTAAAAAAAAAGTAGTCCTCCAAAATGACAAAATAATAACTGTAGTTCAATATGGAGATATGTGAGATTCCATTCAAAAGAACACACGGTTTAGTCTGCCGCTTATCTGCTCAGGAGGAAGAGCAAGTCGGAGCTTCCCATAAGATTGCCGTTTAAGTTGTGCTCGGAGGAGGCGCCCGGCCGCCTTTTTGGCAGAGCTGACTGCGCGCAATGGAGGAGGTAGACAGACGTGGGAGAAGGGGTGAGGGATTAAGCCGTGTTTAATGGGATTGCAAATTCGCTTTCTCTCTCTCAGAACAAAAAAAGGCAGCCGAGAGACTTTTGGCAGCTCCTCCGGTTTCTTTCCCCGCCGCCGCCCTCCGGCCGTCGCGGAGAATCGGCTCGGCCGGGGCGGATTGACACGCTTTCTTGCGTGTCTGAGGAGGTTTCGACATGCGTCGAAATACGGATGGAAGAGATGCGGGAAATAGATTTTATTGAACTCATTCAGTCCCAGCCAATTCTGGACCAAGTCTGAAAAGACGTTTAAAAACGTCTTTGGGAGTGAATGAGTTTGAAGTATCCGTCCGATTCGAGGTCTGCCATACGCGAGGTCGTCTTACCTGTACATGAAGGGCGCCACGGTCGCCGTGTTGGGGTGGTTGTGCTGTTGCTGCTGCGGGAGCTGAACGACTCCATTCCCTCCGAGCGCACCCCCGCCCCCTGCCAGGACCCCGCTGGATGCCGACAGGGCCGACGTGCTGGTGGAGGAGGTCATGCTGCTTCGTTTGCCCTCTGGACCCCCAATGGATCTCTGCGTGTAGAAACTCCCGCCTTGTCCGCCTTTCACGAGCTTGGTTCTCTCCGCCTCTCCTCCGCGCAGGTTGGCACTGCTGTTTAGGCCCGTCTGGCTTTGGGACTGACCCTGGGGTTTTGTCACGCTTGCGGAGTGAGTTTTAAGTCCTGGTTTGGGGATTCCACTGGAACCCGACGAGGATCCGCCGCCGGATTGCTTTGCTTGCTTTGTTCCCTTGGGCACTAGGCTGGCGATTTTGGACGACTTCTTTGCCGAGTCGGCAAACGAGTCTCGCTCCTCTTTGGATGGGACGCAGACTTGCTTGCTCGCAGACTTGCTTTTGTCCTCCTTGTCTTTGGACGCGGACCTGCTGGCGTTTGCGGAAGCCTTGGAATAGGAGGAGGAAGACGGGGTCTTGCTCGTGGCACTCAGGGAGGGCGCAGCGGTCTTGGAGGGGATCTGTTTGGCCGTAGCGCTGCTACCGCCGCTGCTGCATACCGAGCCCGTGGGCGTCAGCGCATCTTCGCCGTACTCCGACATGTCGTCCTCTTCCTGAAGAGCCATCTCAGCCATGGACGGCGACACCCGGGAAGCCGAGCGAGGGTTAATCATCCGGAACTTCTCCAGCATGGACCGGTGAGTCGCGCCGCCGACTTTGCCGCCGTCGGTGCCGTGCGGATGGATGCCTTCTTGGGTCTGCGGTGACGGGGTCGTGGACGCTGCGTTCGCGGAGCTGGCCAACATGGAGGAAGTGGCGCTGTGCTTGAGGTTCATGGACTTGCTCCGCCAGGACTTGCTGGCGGCGGCGGAGGGGATGGCAGAGGCCAGCTGCTGCCCACTTAGGCTGGTGGGAACGGTCCCACCTAGTCCACTTCCGTTCATGCCGCCAGCTACCGGAATGCCCCTGATTGCCTCTGGAAGTAGACAAATAAAAGTACTTGTTAGGGGTTGTTCAGGAATGACATGCATACATGAAACAATCTGGATTCTATAGTCCGTTGGGGATTTAATTCGGTGGGAAAAGTCAGATTCAAGAAACACTCCAATCCACGGAGGGCGAGCACAAGTTTGACTCATTCAAGTTCTCTGAACAACTTTCACAGTCTTGAATTTGTCAGACGGCGCATTTTCACAAGTCAGCGTTACACGGAGCGCTTCTCCTTTGGGGTTTTCGCACACATCCGTGCAACTTTGGAAATGCTCGTTATGGTTAAAAAAAAAAAAAAAAAACTGGTCCCTGCTAGCGGAATACTTTGTAAACTTTGGAGGGAGACTTTTCATTGCAGCGATGCCTGAAAGGATCAAGTGCTCTACCCCTTGCTCCATATCGAAGCCTGCCAAAGAATATTCGCAGGGGATAACATCGCTTGTGAGACGCAACCATGTATCCATGACAACAGCAACAACAAAATCCACCGCTGAACAAGAACTATTTTAAAACGCAGTCATACTATGACAACGGTCGATAGGATCGACTGAAAAAAAAAAATTACTGACTTTTTGCAAGCAATTACGTGAAGCTTTGCTCCATGAAGGTGCCTCTGATCCAAAGATTGCGTTCTTGATTGTTATCTACCTTTCTGGAAGCTTTTTGCACAGTTAGATTTTAATTACATTTGGCAGTCATTTATAATATTGCCGTTATCGAGGACGGGAGACAATTTGCTCCATATGTAAGTCACGTAAAAGTGACAAAGTTGACGCCGCCGAGTTGCACGCCATTTCGCCGAGTGTCTGTGCGCCTGTCAGTCAGCAGAGCGAGCAGGGTGAGGTGCGGTGCAACGAGTCCGCCTCCTCACCCTCGCATTATACGGCTCCTTCAGGCAGTTGGGGGGGGGGGGGTGAGGCTTGGCTTGGGGGGGACCGAGGCACGTTAACAGGCTTACACGTGACAAGCTACGCTAGCACAGTCAAACACGCTTCCAAATCCAAAACCAACGAAGAAGAAGCAGCTCAACCAACTATTTTGTTCAAATAAATGACCGGTCAATGTGGTTTAGCGGTACAGGAGTTCGCTGTCTTTCATGTGCTAGCGCCAAGCGTTAGCCTCGGCATGGTTCTCAAGTCAAAATCGGGCAAGTAAAATATAAATAGACGGAGGCAATATGAGCCTGCAAAAAGGATAAAGTAGCCCTAATGTATGCGCCGCAAGAGAATAATTAGTCCACTACACTTATGTTGTATCAACACTAGCGCGTAGCTATCAACGAGACTGCTGTGGGGTAGCGTCTTCAGCTAATATAAGCATTTACAAAGCACTGCTAGAGGAGTCACATCATCACAATGTACATAAAAACAGCGAATAGTTGTTTTTTTTTTTTTTTTGTGTGTTATTTAAAAACCTTTTCAGGGAAAGCGGTCACTACAGTGGACAGCTTACCATGATATCAGGTTACAGGGGTGCATGAAAGGGTGAAAAAGGTAAAAGAAACTGATATGAAATATAACGATAAGATTTATTTCATACTTTATTATGAAATACTTCTTGTGAAATCGTTTTTTTCAGCCATAATGTCCAGCCTTACTAAGCACATTATGTTTCTTTCCGTCTTCTGTCACCCCGCCGGGGCTCTTTCAAATCGGCGCCACTTTACACTGGCCGTGCAGTGACTGTGCTGTTACCATGGCAACAGACTTTCCGCTTTTTTTTTTTTTTTTTTACAGCATGGCCAAGGAATGAAATGTCACTTCATCAAGTGGAGGTTGACCCAAAGATGAAAAAGTTGTTTAGCTTTGGGAGGAATTTTTTTTGTTCCCATCTTGAACTCTTTATTTTTATTTGGCCTCGCCCCCCACGCATACTGTGTCCACGACTTTTTACCTGACAATGCCTTGTTCCATCAGCTTAAGAAAATACATGCAAATAGTAGCTTTAAGTGCATCCGCTGAATCCGAATACTCACAACGTAAAGCAGAGCAATCGCCAGCTTTAAATTAATCCGTTCATACGCTTCACAGAAACACGTGCCCTTTGATGCCTAAATTAATCAGCCATTTGCACGGCAACGTAAACGGCGCATTTCTTGTTGTGCTTCTCCAAAAGCTCAGAGCTCGACTCAAAGCATGACTTTCATTTAAAGACTGGCCCCTTTTCTTGGCCGAGCAGTTGAGGCGCTACCCCGGCGTGGAACAGATGGCATCGTGGCTTCTCATCCGCCCCTCCCTCTCCCGAAAACCCGTGCCAGCGGAGGTTGCGTGTGTCGGACAAAATTCCCGCAACTTTATCAAAGCGACAATTTGACATTCGCGCCCGATTCACGCTGTTGCCGGCCAGCTGTGCAGAGGTGACGACAGCGCACGCACGCGATGGCGGCTGTTTTGTGCAAGAGTGTGAAATCATTCGCATGAATGTCGGTTATCTGAATCCCAATGTCAATGTAAAGGTCACATTTATAGATAACTGTTGGTCTGGTGATTCACGCCTTCCTTTATGCTCTCATTTACGTCTTATTTTGCCCGATGGAGCCTCTAGGAAGTGCTGACATTTCCCACCGACTGATTTTTCCTTCCCTTAAGGGAAAAGCAGCGTTTTATCCACCCCCCCCTGCGGCAAACATGAGCTGCCTTATCTTTTCAAAACTGCAGAAAAGGCTTTTTAAATGGTCTGAACACAGACTTCACGAATAGGTTTGAGGATTGCACCTTTTGGCAGGAGTGTTTTTAATGATTCACACAGGAGCCCGAGTCACTATTAATCTGCTTAAAGGTAAAGAAAAATGACTTTTCAGCAACCGTGGGGCTCCAACTGTGAGGGTTGTTCTTCATCGCGGCGCGTCTTCGATTTTGTCGCTGAAAGTGTGTCAACTCCGACACCTCGCGGAATTAGTTTGGTCTCACGCAGAATAATAACCTCGGGATGATTCAGCAGAGAGGAGTTACAGGGGGGTGGGGGGTGGGCGGGTGACTGGGCTTCTCCATCAACTCATCTGAGTCAGTGGTGCCATCCAGTGGCTGCCCTGGGGTGGACCATTTTCATTTCTACTCGAGCGGACGGCAAACGGTATCACTTCCTCACCTCGGTCGTTGCCGCTGGCGTATTGGAGCGGTTTGCTCTTGTCGATGCTGTTGAAGCTCTGGCTGCGGCGGTTCAGATTGGATGAGCCCGGACTCCTGGAGGCCCCGCTGCCTGCAGCGGGTACTCGAGAAGGTCCCGGTAACCTGCAGCGGTGGGTGGGGAAAAAAATGAGTTCAGAAGAAACAGAAAGCCAACACTTGAATGATAATAACAGTAGCGTGGAGCTCTCAATCAAACCAAAGAAAGAAAATACAGAGAGATAATGAACGAGAGGGGGCAAAACAAAAGTATGGGTAGATGGCGGAAAAACCCAGACAAGAGAAAATGGGAGCTAAAGAGCGAAAGAGGGAAAACGAGTCGGAGATTGCGGCAATTTCGATGGAAATCGGAGGCAGTTCCTTTTATCATGAGATTCTTTCATCTTCCGAAAATCCATGTTGGATGAATATATCGGCGAGATGTGGCTCGGGAGAGAGAAACATGCCGCAAATTCTGGACAGTGCGCTTTGTTTGAAAGGTCATCTTATGGAAGCGTGTGACATTCAAAACATTCTGGTCCACACTTTGGACATGAAAAAAAAAAGGTTTTTGTTTGGGTTGTCAATGGTCATTCCACTTTATCCGTGAGTCATTTTATGTGTTACTCGCGCTGATAAACGCGGTTTCACGACAACGCGGCGTGTTCGTCTCCGTGCGGCAAACGCGGTGCTATCTCTGCGAGGCACCGCGGCGGGTTTTGGCCACGCTGGGAGATTAGCGCCCATCAGGCTGGAGCTGCTGCGGCGGTGTTATTGTTGTCATATTGGCCCTCTAGGGTTCGCGTGTACAACATCGTGCAAAAGTCCGAGGCCACCAGTGAGCCACATGGATCGTCCACTGTTCACAAAAGGTAGTTCCTGGCAAATTGTGGATCCAAGACCAATAGAACAGCTGAACTTTATTTGGGGCTGAATCAGAGGCACCTCAAGCGGCGCCGTCTCACGTTTTGAATTTCAGATGTTCAAAATTGGTACGTGTGAACCCCACCAAATTCAATACACTATAAACCACAGGTGTCAAAGTCGAGGGCCGGGGGCCAGATCTGGCCCGCCACATCATTTTTATGCGGCCCGCGAAAGCAAATCACGCATGATGCTTGCTAAAGTCTGAATCAAAATGTAAAATTGTCAGACGTAATCCACAATATTATTATTTTTGACTTCTGATTTAAAAACTAGTTATTCATCAATTTGTTGTGCGCTGTGGATGTAATATGTGGAGGGGATTAAACATTTATATGGTTTCCCAAAATTCATAACGGCCCCCCCAAGGGAAATTGAAACTACAATGCGGCCCGCGACAAAAAATGAGTTTGACACCCTTGCTATAAATTATCTTATGTCATATTTACCTTGTGTTTTTCTTCTGTGGCGACCCTATTCCAGTATGGCCCGGAGGACTTGCATATCGTGCTGTGAGACTGAAGAAGAAAAAAAAAAAAAAAGAGCAGAGTCGTGTTAACTGAGTTTAACGAGGAATGTGCCCGGTTTTCTTAATCCAAGTCTTAATGCAATAATGCGACACAGAGGCGGCGTTCAGGCTGAGGAAGAAAGGAAAACCGATAACGAGGGCGGGAGGAAGAGGACGCAGATCATGTCGCATGTCAAGGCGCATGCCGCTGATCTTTAGTCATGTTGGGACCACATGCGCGTGATAATCCAGTCACACGTTCGGGGACGTTTACAATTCATTTTGGCGGTAGCAGCTTTTGAACACAGAAGAAAAAAAAGCTCAAATCACACACAAAAAAAAAAAAAAGTGGCGGAAATAACCGCGGCTGCAGCGACGTCACTTTAAGACCTTGACGCTCAGGCTGAGTCACTCACATCGATGGGAACCAGCGCTGGCCGCCATTCACGCTTGACAGGAAACCGTAAAGTTAACGTTAGGGGCAAGCTTTATGAACAGAAAACGGCCGCTTTCATCGTCCTACGTACAATGTGACAGCCAGGTGGCGAGGCTCTCGTTGAAGTTCTGTGAGTAAATGCAAACGTGCGTAATGTCCTGTGTTGACTGGATGACTCGCAAACCATTTAAGTGCTTTTTTTTTTCTGCCCTTGTACACATGAAACTGTTCAGGGTACTTTTTTTTGGGGGGGGGGCGAAAATAGAGATCTGTAAGATTTGTAAGATAGCTTTCACAAAAAAAAAACAAAAAACAAATGGGGGATCAAGCGTACTGGTTTTGAAAAGTGACAAGTTACAAAACAACGCAGACAAAAAAAAAATCATTGTTTTTGTCACGAGCCGAGCTCGCGTTTCAAACACTATCTGGCGTCCTTCTGTTCCTTTGTGCCTTCAGAAACAAACTGCGTCGTTAATTTTAAGGCATATTTTAGTGCTTATTCATAAATAAAAATGCACGCACGGGGGGGGGGGATACAGATGAATGCTGAAAAAGGCGAGAAAATTCATCGAATTAGTCTGCGCGTCGCTGTTTTGATCCCTCAACTGTCGATTTCTTAAACGGTCTTGACTTGTTTTACATTGACTCCACTGTCGGTCCTTTTTTTCTGATCCTGCGTGCAAAACAAGCTTCTGTTTGGAACAATCACATGTACCGAATGAGTGAAAATGTCCAATATCGTACAGTGTCCAGAGCAGGAGGAAAAGAGGAAGTAGCCTCAGCATCAATGCATTAAAATGTCCTCCTGCTCTGGCAACGTGGGACGACTCTTTCCCTGTTTTGTGTTTTGCGGGTTGTTGGTTTGGCACTGACGGGCTTAAGTGAATTAAAAGCACTTGGCCGCTCGAATGACAAACTGCAGTCCTCGCATTGCCCCCCCCTCCTCCGCATCATCTAAGTTAGTGTCTTGACGTGGAAACCGGGGCCCGCAACGCGGACAATAGGACACGGACAATTATCCTTTTTCGCTCTCGACCGTTGAAAATCGTCAGATTGTCCTTTTGGCGCGAGACGATCGGTCACATTCGATGTGACCGATCTTTTGGGGGGGCCGCTGTGCAAAATTGTAATTCAATCCAAAACGAAATGGCCCTTTTCTCATTATCGTACACAAGTATATTCAGGGATCACTCGAGGTAGAGCAATTAACCTCCACTTTCAATGACCTTGTGATAAAGTGCGCGGCCAGTCTACGCCTTTCCCAATTGACCTTGTGGATTTTAAGGATGCGCTGTGTGGAGTGTTTTTTTTTATTTATTTATATTTTTTTATGTGCAAATGAGCTTCCGAGCTGAGCGCGGAAGATGTCGAGATGATCAAGGAGGACGCCTCGTTCAATAACTACAACACTGTTGATTGGTGGAAGTGGTACCTCAAACAAGACTCACAATAAGGACCCCTTGTTGCCATCGGACTCCAAGAGCAGTCTACACGATGACCACACCCGAATAATATTTAAGATCTTTCAAAATGATGCGACATCTGGGGACAGGGGGTCAAATGGACGATTGACTCCACATGCCGGCCACGACAAGCTAAGTTAGGAAGGGCTCTCCTTTTTATCTCCCGTATAAATGTTGCGGTTTTCAAATCCAAGGTTCAGGAAGTGGATTGTAGAACCAGTTAAAAAAAAAAAAATTAACAAAAAAAAAAAAAAACGTGCTTTCAAGGTGGAAGGAATTATGAACACTTCCAAATTAATTTTAAAAAATTATGTCAACTGCATAGGAGTCCAAACAACCAGGCAAGTGGCAAAATTCAATGGAAATTGCAATGCAGACAGGCGAGATTCAAAACAAACTGACTAAGTAGGGAACGGATTTAAAAAAAAAACAAAAAACAAACACCGAATATGCCCCAATTCTCCTAAAATAACTGGTCGACCTACCACACAACACACAAAAGAAGCGGCTCAATATCCTTTACCGGTACGTGACTCCAAGAATTAAATCCCCATTTCACCGTTGGATCAATCGAATTCCTCTAGCTACTCGAACTCAACCGACCGCACGATTCGAAGTGTACCGAGGAGAAGAGTCGCGCTTGTCCTGGCCGTTGGCTTCCCCGTAGGGCGAGCGGCTCTTCCTGTCGCGAGACACAGCGGTGGGCAGCCGAGAGGACCGCGAGACCGGGGGGTCAACTTGACCACCCGGGGACATGTTGGGTTCAAAGGCTGGATTTTTTTTTTTTTCCCCTGTTTCGAACTAGAGTGTGGAAAACCTCTTGTGGCTTCGGACCGTCGTGCCGCGTCTAAATGGGGGAGTTCCCCGTTTGGACGTGTATAAGCCCACGCGACCCATCCCTTGCCCTAGAGACACTCAGTGAGAGCCAGCAGGTGCTGTCTATAGAAAGCCCAACTGCGGATGTGCGGCATACCGAACGCCTGAGAGCAAGTATGTATGGGTCGCACATAATTTGATCACTGAAAATCCTTTCACATCTCTCGTATATCTTTAGCAAGCGCTAAATGTTCACGGCCCGCTGACGCTCGCCGGGATTCATCATCGTATTAAAGGACATTCATTAGAGGGCTATCGAGTGATTTGGCGTAATTACATTTTGCCGTTTCGAATCGGATGGGAGGGGAGGGGAGCAGCCTTTGGCATTAAAACTCAAACAAAAAGATTGTTATCGCAATGTATTCATCGTTATCATGCCAGATGTACACTACATTCGATGATGATACTGTGCTTTGCTCCATAGAGCGAAGTTATCACTACAAAGAAGTACTTAGCCAAGCGTAAGTCTCAAGTCACGTATTTTTAAAACATGCCGACTCAACGGGTGGCACTATAACCCCCGCTCCCTAAAATACCCCAAGTATTTGTTGCAGCTGCAGCGGTTGTGAAAGCGCTCTATCAATCAAACTGTATTGTATGGTATTGTATTCACTTTAGCGTAGCTCCATCTAGTGGATACATCATGCAACCGCAGCCATAATTGTAGCATCAATTCTATGGGCCTCATAATGTTGTGCGTCTTATATATGAAAACCGAGTGCGCTTTATACTCCGAAGCACCTTATAGTGCGGAAAATACAGCACCTGTAGTTTTAAAATCAGAAATCAAGACGTTTATTGTGGATTACATGTGACAATTTGAAATTTTGGTTCAGACTTTAGCAAGCATCATGGAACTTGACATGCTTGATTTGCTTTCACGGGCCACATAAAATGAAATGGCGGGCCAGATTTGGCCCCCAGGCCTTGACTTTGACATCTTGCTTTAGGCCTTCCTTCAACCAACCCGAAATAAAACCAAGTGCAGGCGGGGCTTTAATTCTTCCGCAAAAAGCGTTCTCCACCTGTTGTCAGGGTGGGAGAGGGAGCTTGGGACAGTCAGGCAGCTGCGCCCCGACTCACGTCCGCCAAAGCGCACGTATCCCGACCCAAAACGCGGATCCACTCCCGCCGAAAGCACTCGTGTTTCGAATGCCGCTCTCAGTCATTCATGTCAGGGCCGAGCGGAGGCGCGGCGCGGTAAACGGGATCTGATGGCATGGGGAATGTAGCTCACGTGTGGCATGTCGGGCCTTTAAATGCATCTCTCAAAGCGGTCTATTGACACACCGGGTCACAGCTCGCGTTTCTTGTCTGACTTTCTATTACACCAATCCGTTTATATTGCAACGAACCTTGAGGTGGATTCTACACAAAGTCTGGGTAGCATCTGAAGAGAAAGAGCTTTCGTGTGATTTTATGATAAACAAACAAACAAAAGAAAAAGACTGGAAACAGATGGAAGCATTATGAAATTAGATCTAACGGTAACTGAATCCAGTCTCGCAATGGCTATTTTCAAAGGAGGTTAAACTACAGTACATTGCAGTTCATATTCTAGGAAATTGAATTTTTCTGTGTGAATGTGATTTGGGGCGTATTGCAATGTATTGATCAGATCATTCGGAGGAAGATCGAAAAATTCAGCTTTGAAAACCCCCTTTTGGTCAGATTTGCAAAATGTCCCGCAATAAAGCATGTATTTCTTTCAGGTGCTCGCGACGCAGCGGGAAGCACTTAAAACGACGTCAACTGGAGCAACGGAAAGAAGTGCAACGAGTTTACAGTATTGGCTTTGCAAAGCGTACCTGGACTGCATCTCTTGCGACTTGCTGGCAGATGTTGCGGTGCTGCTGCTGCTGCCGGTCTGCTGGCTGAGCTCCACCAGCGACTGGTAGTACTGCTGCTGTTGCTGCTGCTGCTGTTTGTAGCGGGACAGGATGAAGAAGAGGCCCAGGATGCTTTTCAGGTTGCCATTCCTGATCTCTGCAGAGACGCCACCCCCCCCCAAAAAAAATAAAAATTAAAAAAAACAAACAAATGCAGAAGCCCGACGTTGAAACACTTTGTACTGTTGAATACGATCAGATGTCTTTTCATCTGCCTCGCCAAAGCATGAATAAAAGAGCTTCTGTGAGTGTAAGCAGATCAGCAGTTGAAGGGCGGATCAAACTTTTTCAATTTTGCACCGCTTACTCGATCGGCGAGAACGCAGAGAAGCTCACATGAGCCAATGTGATATATCACACTTATGTAACGCCAAAGCTCGAAATCAAACTGTTCACAGAAATAATTTTATTGACGTCCGCTAACAGGAACTGCCGTGATACCGATGAAACCAAAACAAACTATTCCAATAGAGGACGTAAAACACGTTTCCAAAGAAACTAAATCATTAAAAAAAAAAAAGAACCCCTTAGGATGCATAAGGAAAGGAAAAACGTCAAATATTTGCATCTAAGCGTTCAAGTATACCCTCCAAATACGCTTCCGGAGTTTATCGCAGAGAAAAATCAAAGTCACCTTATCTGCCACAGCGGGCTGGAAAAGAATTGGGATGAGCCCCGGCAAAGGAAGACTTCATCACTGTGACTAACGCAGCCATTTGTGAAATGGAGCTCGCCTAGCAAACCTTCGGCGAGACCCAGCGCAAGCAGAGCAGAGGCTGATCCAGTTATTTTCATGATCTTAGAGTCATCTAATGTTTTTTTTTTTTTTTTGGGAGGTAGTGAAGATTAATCGCTGATCCTTGAGGGGGCGGGCTTCCAATTCCTAACACCCACGGGCGTCAATTTACTCTTGGCTTGGCGGAGACCCTCCATTACTTTTTGCAGACGAAATGACGCAGCTTTTGTTGAACTTTGGTCGTAATATAAATGACCGGCTCAACTGTGTTTCTTCTTGTCATGCCACTGAGTATTGACTCGATTGTGTATTTTTACGGGACTCTTACTTACAGATACAACCCCTGATGTAACCCTGTCAATGACATAGTCACTTATTGTGTTGTATTTCATGAATAGTGGTACCTCTACTTACGTACGTCTCTTGATACGAAATTTTCAAGTTACGAAACGTCTCAACAGGAAACTATTGCCTCTTGTTAAGAAAGAAATTTCAAGATACGAAAGGTAAAAATACAGCCTGGCCCGCTACTCGCCGCTCCGAGTTTCCTGAACGCAACATACTTGTAGCTGCTCTGCCATTGGCTACTACCAAGCATCATCCGGCATCCCATTGGCCAAGAGGGACTTCAACCGAATTTGTGTAGATCGATAGTTAGGTGTGGATGCAGCGTCCTCGTCATTCGCCCAGGAGGCGTTCCGATGGTTTTACATAAATGTGAATCACCTGGAAAAAGCGTTCGCCAGTCGGGCTATCGCTCACTATGCCGATGTTTGCCTTGGACATTTCCAAGGACATTTTAATGCTTTAGGAAACATTTATGTCTGAATTTTGGAGGGGCTTGGAACGAATTGGGGCATTTACATGGCAAATGCGTCTTGACTTACAAACTTTTCGAGTTAAGAAATTTCTTCCAGAACCAATTAATTTCGTAAGTAAGGGTACCACTGTAGTGTGTTTTATCCATCCGCCAACGTAATCACATACCTGAGGCGAGACCGCTTGACTGAGTTTTCGGCGGGTTTAGGGAAAGTTTTGAGATTGGGCAGGCTAACTTTCTGTCACGAGGCAATCGACAAGAGATCGTCAGCAACACACGGTGTTTTCATTAGGCGCGAGGTGGGGGCCGTTGAGCTGTCGCGACTCTGGTGCGGTGGAGAAAATAAAGTGTTTCTGTTTGGCCCGCGTTCAATGAAAATGTGCCTTTGGTTGGGAGTTTTTTTTTTTTTTAAAGTGGTTTGACGTGCTTCCATTCAGTCGTTCGTTCTTGTGATTTGGCGAGGTTGTTCCGTGGGTTACAAAAGACGTGGAAAAGAAGGGGTGGGGGTAAGATTCAAGTACAATGTCGGAGACAAATAGCGCCTGGGCGCCATAAGTTCGACCTTTTACCTACTTCATCAACTTGTCGGCTTCAATCAATGCACAATACATGCCAGGCCAAGGGTCTCCTATTTTATTTTTTGTTCTTGCTACTTTATGAGATACACAATGCTCCACATTTGTGAATCCAAAAGATTTTTTGGCATAAAAGGTGTCTATTAAAACTATACGTGCCCATTTAAGAGGGTGCTTTTCAGGGTGGGCAGGTTATAGGGGCGGGGGGGGGGGGGGGCGTCTCTCAGGAAACTCTTCATACAACATACAATATGTCACGTTATTTTTATATGTATATTTTTCATGTGATATGTTACCCCGTCAGGTAAAATAATATTAGACAGCAGAAGAACTAGGAAATGACAGAAGCCATCCCTATTAGGTAACCCGATCGCCCATTTATTAATAGACGTTGAAATTCCAGGCCCCTGCGGTGAGTCACATAGCTGTTTTTAGTACGTGACTGCTCGTGGCGGGTTGAACTGAATTTCAACGCGTCGGTCAGTGTGTCAAGCTCTCGCAAGCATTTCGGCTGCTGCCGGCGAGGTCGAGGGCGTGATCGACAACGACAGAGAGAGATGAAGAAGGCAACACTACTCCATTGTATAAGATACAAAATGGTTTAGGAAGGAGCGATAGCTCTATAGAGCATGTGTACAAACACGAAGCGGCTTTTGTGAGTTGCTAAATATAGACGGCGTGTTGCCAAGGTCTCGGGCATACGGTCTCGGGTGCTTCCCAATGCGATTGAAACCGTCATGTGAGCACTGCACAACTACCAAAACTGCTCCACATATAATATACTGTCCTATATGATGGATGTTGAACCGCAAAAACATGGTGCGATTGTCAAGGAAGAAATAGATTGGCCCAAAGACACAGCACAAGTCATCAAAAAAAAAAAAAAAAAAGGTAAATATAGTTAAATATTATTGTAAAAGAAATTATATGAGTCTCGCTTACACTTAAGACAGAAGAATGTCAGACTTTTTAAGACACCTGGGAAGTGTCAAGAGTGTCAAGAAGACCAGCACAGTGGCGACGAATGACAAAGAAAGTTGGAAGCAACAGCACGATTGAAAGAAACGTTCACACTGGTTAGAAATCTGAAAAGACTATTTTATGAATGAGCGTGGTTAACATCTTCGGAGGTCCGGAACCTTACCTTCCGCGGAGAGCCCTTGCACATTCACTCCTCTGGCATCCAGAAAACTCAGGCAAGCGTCCACATTCTCAATCTGGGAGACAAAAACAAATGAGGGGCAAGGCAATCAGATGGAGCAACTTACAAGACTTAACATTCAATGGGGCTGAAATGTCTCGTGGGGGTTGGGGGGTGGGGGATGATCGGCGTTATTACCCATAAAGCACATCATTGTGTGGTTACAAGGCCCATGCCCACACGAGCCACTGGGCCGACTGCGTGACATACTGACCGCAGTGTTGTCGCCACCTACTCTGCCCGCGGCGTAGCGCCGTGAAGTCATATTACACTGACAGCCAACAACTTTGTGTGCATAAATGAGGAGGCAGCATCTGAACCCCCCCCCCCCCGCCCCCCCACTGCCGCAAATAGACAACACACAAGCAATGTGCCTTCCGTCTTTTGGCATCCAAGGCAAGGGGAACTTTTGCCACATTCCTTCATTAGCATGCCGCTCAACTGCCAGCGACGCCTCCTTTATGGCGAGTTCAAAGGTCACAGTTCCAGCCTTTCAGTGATGTCACACATGCGCAACTTTCATAATAAGATTTTTGGCGTTTCAATTTTTTTTTTTTTTTTAATTCAAAAATGGTATTTGGGAGGGGGGGAATCCCTGCTGTATAGTATTGAAAAATATTTGGGGTTTAGGGTGATAACACGCCAAGCGCTTTGCTGATTTTGTCGCACGACCGCAAGTCACACAAAGAATTCGTCCATCTGCGCGACATAACACAGGACTTGAAAACACCCTCACATGTGGGCTTCCCTCTTCTTTCCGCACATGTTGCACGCACACCCAAACATGTGTGCCCAGTGTGCGCTCGTCGGTCATTACCCCGCCACATTCGCTCAGAAGCCGGCATTGAAAACATGTATTTAGTGATGATTATTCTGTTAAAGGGGGGGGGTTAATATTTCCCAAACACATGAAAGGGGTGAAACTCATAAACGCAAAGTGGCACAATGATGAAACACCCTTCCCCTGGGAAAACCAGTGACTCGCGAAAGAGAAATCCCGAGGATTTGTTTTAAAGTCACCCTGCACACTAAAATGATGGGAAAAAAAAAAAAGAAAAAAAAAAGCTGAATAAGGCTGAAGGTGTCCATGACAGCTGGAGCAAGAATTTTTCCACAGGGATCTGGCGAAGTCTAACTGCTAGTTTGGTGGTCACGTTCGGCTTTGTGGCAAGCAACTGATAATCGTTTCGTTTCTCCAGCACACGCTGGAACCAAAACGGCCTTTATCAGCAAGTTGCAAAAAGGACATCTGATGAGGCTCTCAAGAAGAAATGCCAACAAGAATTAGTGCATCGACCTCACAGTGCAGGGGTATCGGGTTCAATTCCAGCTCCGGCCTCCCTGTGTGGAGTTTGCATGTCCTCCCCGGGCCTGTGTGGGTTTTCTCTGGGTACTCCGGTTTCCTCCCACATTCCAAAAACATGCATGGCCAAATTGACCCTAGGTGTGAGTGTCAACCCCCCCCAAAAAAAATGATTAGACTTCAGTTTATGCTCCGGTTCTTCCGATTAACACACTCACTCGTAAATGTCACATTGGGTACGAAGTGGCTGGAAAGCGTCCCGCCTGAGATGAAATTGTCAAGTAAAATGAGCCGACGCATCAATTGCCAGAAAACGAGCTCCGTTCGGAAAACCGAGCATAAGCGTTTTACAACGCGGGGGCATCGCTTCATAAATGACGGGTTTGATTTCAGCATAATGTCACGCGTCCACTGGAAAAACGCTGAACGGTCTTTATTCGGCGCGCGCATGCGGACGTCTTTTGCCAGAGGAATTTGGTGTCACCCTGTGCAAATATATCAGGCGGTGAGGTCATGTGACTTGTTAACAAGTGGCATTCCTGCTCGCGTTACAGAAACGCTCACGTTGCGCCAGCTTTTAAGGGACACATGATGTACGATCAATGATTCGCGCGTGGCAAATGGACGTCTTGATTATATACGTTGGCTTGTTTGCCGCTATCGTAAAACTTGGGAGGCTGCCCCGTGTGGCTTTGGAAAGCATCTGGCTCACAGGCCCGCTTTTGTGTCCGCATGTGTAAGGCCGTCAAGCCGCCGATTCATCTTTTCTTTAAATCTCGGGACTGATGCGGTCTGAAACGGTTTGTCGCCACAATGATATTGTTTGATATTGTGTGTCACACCCATAACACGCCTGCACGATGGACATCGGGAATGGCACAGGAGAAGCAATGCAGACCGTCACCCTGTCGAGACGTTCCGATCTCCGAATACCGAACGAGAGCGGCACTCGGTCGAAGTTGAAGACTTCTGAAATGGATCAGGATCGAGGTGCGCCGCTTGATACAACAAGCCTCAATTTAGACCACGGGTGTCAAACTCACGGCCCCGGGGGCCAGATCTGGCCCGCCACATCATTTTAGGTGGCCCGCGAAGGCAAATCAATTTCCATGATGCTTGCTAAAATCTCTCCCAAAATCTAAAATTCTCACATGTAATAAATAAGAGACACATTGCAAACATTTTCTTGTAACCAAACCCCTCATGACAGGAACTTTAAAAGATTTGGTTTCAGTCATAACGGCCCTCCAAGGAAAACGGTCACCAAAATGTGGCCGACGGCAAAAATGAGTTTGACAGGGGTGTCATTTTTAGATTGTTCTTTTTGGCCCAGAATTAATTTTGGCAGAGGTAAGAAGAAAATATAAAAACACACACACATATATCGGCTCCTCGCCGCAGCCAAATTATTCAAACGAACAAATATGAAGGGCATTTGTTAAAAAAAAAAAAAATGTGAATCGGAAAACAACCAAGACAAAAACAAAAAAAATTGGCATTTTCATCGAGGGGCAGTAGATTATTGTTCAGTTTGATTAAGATGACCATTTTCGACACAATGAAAAATACACAAAAGCCTCGAGAGAGCTCTTTCGTAAATCTCGCAGACCCACGGCAATTTTCAAACAAACGGACTGCGCTACCTAATTACAAATTTCACAAGACAAAAGCCAGCCACCATTTGAGCTGCTCCCTCGTGATAATTGAGTCCACCTCTCAAGGGTTCAGTGGGAACACGTATAAGTCGCCGTTTATGTCCTGCGTTCAAGGAGAATAACACCTGTTGCTATTTTATGAGGTATATCCCCATGAATTATCTGCATCTGTTGACACTCCGGGGTTTTTGGAGTGAGTGAAGTGTGTTTTATTGCTCCCGTGCAACAAAACAAATCAACTCACGGTCACGATGAGGGAATCTAGTGCAACCCGAATTGAGCCAGTAAGAGAGCCGAGATACGAAAAACAAGGTTTGAGTTTGAAATTACAACCGGTAAAATCTCATCTTGGCTTTTGTGTCGGTGATTGGCCTTCGTCTTGGTTTGAAATAAAACTTTTGGGAGAAGATGAAGATAAAAAAGACTTTTTTAAGCATTTGGCCGACATGAAACCATTTATTTCCCAGAATGCCCGGCGGTATTGACTTGCGCATGCGGCATCCTCTTTGAAGATGACTAAGATGAGGAAAAATAGAGCGCCTGTGTGATCGCTGAATGATGGGCCCGACGTGTGTCAATCCACCCCCTCGGCGACTGCATTTTCGGGAGGGAGTGTGAAAAGTGAACCCGGGCTACGGGTGGTGACCTTTGACCCGCAGAATACACGGCGCACGTTTGCGGACGACAAGCGTCTTTTTGTTGAAGCGGTGAGTGATGACGGCGAGAGAGACCAATGCGGATGTGGGGGGGCGGGGGGGGAGCAAACATCGGGGTGACCTGGCTGTGAGCAAGACGGATGGTGGATTAAAACCGACAAAAGGACAAGAAAGGGTGACGATAAAAGCTGACAGCACATGGGAATGTTCCGCGGCTCTCCGCCTTTTGACCATTTCCAACGTGAATCATGTGTTCTCCTCTTCAAGCACGCCAAGGACCTCCTGGATTGGATCCCACGGCTTCGTTTCGGATTCTGTGTCGGGACCATTAGCGGCCAAGGGAAGTGCTGCGACTGCTATAAGATTACGCCGGAGTTGATGCTGTATGCCTGGGAGGGAAGTTGCAGCTGTTGCACTGCGCTCAAACTGTATCAAATCAAAAGGTCGGGTCAATCTTTTCACCGTGCCCATCTTAAAACAGAGCTGAAAATCAGTCTGGGCTGGTCAGTTCGAATGAATGAGTCAAAGATTTGCAATTAGAGCTACAAGTGAGCCCATAATGTCTTGTGGATTGCTAAACTGGACGATTACCGTATTTTCCGTATTATAAGTCGCACCAGCCATAAAATGCATCCTAAAGACGAAAAAAAAACCAACATATATAAGTCGCATTGGGGTATATATATAAGTCGCATTTTGGGGGGAAATTTAGTTGATAAAATCCAACACCAAGAAACGACATGTCACTTTGAGTGGCAATTTCAAATAAAAATAACATAGCGAGCAACAGGCTGGATAAGCGTACGATATGCTAACGTTACATGACGAATCAAAAACGAACTGGGAATGTGCCTGGTATGTTCACGTCACATATTAAGAGTTATTCCGATACGCTTCCTCTTCTACGTCGCTTCGGTCAATATATGTCGACTTATCAACAGAGGCCTAGTGCGCCCTCTTGTGGCTTAATGTGGAAAATAACATGTGAAATGACATCATAATATGTGAATCATTTCGCACATAAGTCGCTCCAGAGTATAAATCGCACTCAATGCTTTGATGCTTTGACTGATCCACGAACAAAATGCCTCTGCTGCAGAATGACAACCATGAAACTAATTAAACGAGAACGAGCAAAATTTTCAGATTATTAGCTCTCCCGTTCGCATTTTTTTTCTACACGTTTATATATTCTTGCATAAAGCTGCGTGCAGAGGCGGTATGGGAGTCACTCGCTGCCAACTTCCAGAGGAGTTGCAACAACTTTTTTTTTTTCCCTTAAAGCCTTCAGGTGATGAGCAATACACATGACAGGATTACTGCATATGGAGTGTAAAGTTTGAACGGGTTTGAGTTATTTTGGGCCACTGAGAAGCGGTGTAAACACTCTCCCGAAATATTA